ACACATTATATAGAGAACTAAAGTCTTTCTGTAAAACTTTAATACAGAACGGTTGTCTCTCTGTCTGGTCTGGATTCAACATAGAACTTGGCACAGAAGTGCAGCAGTTCGAGTTGCCACGTTCCAAATAGCACACAAAGGTAGACAAGAAGATGAGTGAAGAGAATCAATAGAGTTTGACAAGTATAAGACTGGAACAGAATGGGTAATGGTAGAAAGGAATATGAAAGATTACAGAGATTGAATACATCTGCGCCATTGACAACGATTTTGAGCCATGTCACCTATTGTCTCCAGCCATTGATTCCTAGAGTCCCGAGGGCCCCAACCCGGGAGTCTGCATCTCCCTACCTGACTCAGTTTAACTGTCAAGGATTTCATGGATTGATGCCATGTTTTTGTTTGGCCACCACTGGCTCTTTTCCAACCTGAACCTATATCAGCTAGCAAAGCCCGTCGGGGGAGGCGGTGGTTAGGCATGCGCACCACGTGACCTAGCCATCTTAGTCTATGTAACTTTATAACCTCGTCGATTGATTTTCCCTCTTTGCCCAACACTCTACGCCTAACGTCAACATTACTTATCTTGTGAAACCACCTAACGTGAGACAGAGATCGCAGACATCTACGATCAAAAGCAGTCAACTTTTTCATATCTTCAACTCGTATTGGTCATGTTTCAGAGCGATAGAGAAGGACGGAGCGAACTGATGAGCAGTACACACGTCCCTTGGTTGATAGCCGGATGTCACGCCTACGGCAGAGATGGTGTAAGTCAGCGAAAGCAGCTCGAGCCTTTTGAATCCGTGCTGAGATTTCGTCGTCAATCAGTTCGTTGGTGCTGATTCGATTTCCCAGATAGGTGAAGTGGTCAACATGTCCTATCACTTCACTCCCTATCACTAAGCTAGGAGTTGACGTCGTCCAGTCCTGTAGCAGCATCTTACATTTCGCAGGGGCGAATCGCATGCCAAACATACGAAGATTGTTGCTAAAAGTGTTCAGAAGACTCTGCATTTTGTCAGCATCCTCCCCTAACAGGGCCTATGTCATCTGCATATTCTAAGTCCATAAGACTATTCCCTGGTAACAAGTCGATTCCTAAGTCATTACGTTCAGTTAAGGATACTTCCATCAGCATATCTATGATGAAGTTAAACAGAAATGGGGAAAGTGGACATCCCTGTCGGACACCACTGGTTGTTACCAATTCAGATGACAATTCCCCATAAGCCCTTACACGGCCACATGAGTTTGAATAGAGTGCCTTGATTAGTGCAATGTACTTTCTTGGCACTCCCTTCACAGTCAGACATTGCCATAGTACCTTTCGATCCACGGAGTCAAAGGCCGCCTTCAAGTCAAGAAATATGGCGATTATTGGACGCCGAAAAGTGTGTCTGTGTTCTAGAATCTGTCGGAGAGTGAAGATATGATCTATGCACCCTCTACCTGGTCTAAAGCTTGCTTGATTTTCCCTCGCCTGTTCCTCCCGAGTTCTGCTTTGTCTGTGCATGATTACTGAGCCTAGGATTTTAGAGACTACCACCAGCATTCGCTAATAAGTAGATGAAACACAAAAGACAGAAGTGTCAAAGAAAAACTTGTTGTTAAACCTGAAATTCAAAGATGGAAAAACAGCTGAAATCCTTCGAAGTAGATAATCGAGAGTGATTACAAAAGCATTCTTCGCCACACGCTTTACGTGTCACTTCCACACAACCTCTCATTCATCAAAATGTCACAAAAAATGTTCCACTTTTCCCAACATTCATCTGCACATATCAATTCTCATTCTCCTGTAGATTTAAGTACACATCAGCAGTACTAGTAGGATACTGTCTAGACGCGCACAAGAACATCTCCCAATATGATTGCCGAGAGGAGAAATACGACGGACCAATAGTTCAAATCTTGAGCATTTCGTTCTTACAAATCATTCTGCATCAATAGAATAATCTTCAAAGTGATGTATAATGCAAGGCCCACTTGTCCGAAGGGTCTGCAACTACATCTTATCTCCACAGCAGAGCAGGATTAGAGTTAGGAAAAACCCGGGACTGTGTATACACAAGTGGTTCATCCAATCCCTTTACTACCCCCCACTTTCTTTTTAAGTTGTACAATAACTTGGTATGCAATCACATTCATTCGGCTTTTGTCTTCTTGTTACTCTTTCTTATTAAACTCCAAACCTCAAAATATATATCTTTCAAATATTCTGAACCTCTTATTCTTCTGAACAACGTTCCAGTTCCCTAGCTCTTGTAGTTTCTCTTATAATGGTAATCATTTATGAACGATGCTCACCACTTATTATTATCTTTAGATTGAGTATTTTATTATTTTTCTTGATATATAAACCCAAACGTTTTGTTAACAACTGACATGAACAAATGACTCCCCAACGTTTCAAAACACCGTATAGTTGTACAGCTTTGAAGTGAAGTTATGAAAATAATATTCTTTGCTGACTTATGTCTTTTTAATGTATACCTCACATGAGTATTTTTCATAATTCATAGTACTCCACAAAGATGTAGAAGTTGTCGATTGAGAAAAAACTGTTACTCTGGTAAGAATTCTGCTGAACATATAGATCATACAGTGGGATAGTCACTCTGTGAATTATTTATATTATTTAAACACAGAAAACTTGGTACAATATGGCCCCAAGATGATGCGCCACAAAATAAAACAACATAGATTAAAAGTAAAAATAAATAGTAGAGGACGGATAAAGAACTTCATCTGGAAGGAAAACAGTCATACTTAACAAGTGCAAACAGAATTCGCCAACTATTACCAGGAAGCGAAGAGAGAAGGAAATTTCAGCACGTTCGCCATTAATTACGATTCTTGGCCATATCCAATAACGTTTCGAGCCATCGATTTGACCTATCTCTCGGTGTCGCACCAACCGATGATAACCTAGCACAAATATCCTTCATCCTACGGGGCCAAGTCATGGACTGACCATCTCTCCGCCTTTTCCATCCCGTCCCATGGCTAGCATAAAGAGACCTGTACGGAAGCCTCTGGGATGACATTCACAGCACATGTCCATGGTTCGGTACTAACCGACCAAGGAGCACTTGAGCTAGTGACAGCAGATACTGAAGCTGGTAGCCAACAAAATTGTTTCTCGAACTGCTCTGCCCAGCGTTCCAGGCGTTTTTTCAGGTTGGTAATTGGCGTACCATCTGCCTCACAGACCGTCTCACTGACACCTTGTTTCTTGCTGCCGGCGGTTCGGATGAGTTAGAACAGCTTCCGACTGTTGCCAGATGCAGCAGCTGACTCCATCTCACACGCACTTTCTGACCGCCAGGCTTCGCGGTCCTTACGTAAACACTGTCTAATCTTGCGCATAGCAGCCTTTCGCTTATCGTTGTATTAGCTGCCAGTCGGAATGGATAGGCGTTCATCCAGAAGTTGCAAGGAACTAGCAGAAACCCAGTGGTTTTTAACGGAGCATTCTTTTAAGCCGCAAGTGGTTACACTCGCTAGTTGCATGGCGTCTTGCAGATGAAGTCAATGCTCATCTATAATACTTGGGGGGTCGCTTAGCGTAAAAGTAACTGACTCTGACGGTGAGTAAATAGAAAGAATTATGAATATCGGATATAATAAGGCGTTTCTTCGAGATCGCAGATACACTTTGCCAATGAGTGTTAACAGGCAGGGTTCTCGTTATATTGGTCAACTCATGTCAGCTGTATTGCAAAATACAGAGTTGCACTCAAATTCTCATAAGACGTATGTTGAACACTGACTCCTTGTTGAATTAAGAGCTTGTTCAAACACAAGGAGGCTATTTGCTTATTTTAAGCTTATTTTACGTCAAAGCATTGGCGACAGTGGGGGAAGGGAGTAGTGGGGGGATATGATAACACAGAGACGATAAAAACGACGGAAAAGGATGGAGGAAGAGCCATAAAAGTGACATGAAACGACTAGAGAATCATTCTCACATATGATCTTCATAACCGCATATGTTACTACTGAAAATAAAAAAAAACTTTCTAAAAAATGTAGTACAGCCGCTAATAATTTTGACTTTGAGCAATTTTAAAATAGCATTGAGAAATCTGTGATATTATTAACAAATGATCAGCCGATCTTATCGTTGTTCTTCTAATCGATTCCAAAACTATGAGACAGTACACAAGCCTATAAAACCAACTAACTCATGGCTAATAGGTAGGAGATTAAAACAATTCACTAGGGGATTCTCATCAAACTGTTGAATTGTAAGCAAGGTTGCCATGAGACTACATGATTCGACTTTAGCTTACGGCTGCACATTAATGTCAGCTAGCAGGAAAACCAGTCTGAGACCAGTTAGCTTTCATAAAGTCTACATTTAAACTCATAAATATGTCAAAAATATTCATTCAGACATCTGTAAAACACAAAATAATCGAGCAAAGAATATCCTTTTCGATAAATTCCTCTTCCGGCTCTACAATCATATATATATATATATATATATATATATATATATATATATATATATATATATATAGATAGATAGATTAGTAGTCAATAATAATATTAGTGTTTTTTAGATAATATCGATTTGTAAAGTAAGATCACAGATCATTATAGATGATTAAATTATAATATTACTTAAGATATAATAGCGAATAGAATTTCAACTAAAATTAGGAAAATTCCACAAAAATTGAGGGTCATTCAAACTTAGATGGCCAAGGTAATGATAATGTCTGAACTATATCCTTTTGGATGCATAAATTGGGCTTGTTAATATTTATTAGTTCGACTACTAAATATCGCTGAGGCTGTGGGGAAACCTATATATATATATATATATATATATATATATATATATATATATATATATATATATATATATATGTAATTGTAGAGCCGAAAGATGAATTTATCGAAAAGAATATTCTTTGCTCGATTATTTTGTGTTCCATAAATATGTCTCACAATAGGTGTTTTTTCCTTTAAAAAGAGAGGAGACTTACCGGCATATGCAGATGTATCAGATCTTATAAGGTAAAAATATCGTTGTAGTATTAACTTTTCTCCAAGATACACATTACAACTGTACATTCCATAATCATTAGGATTATTAATGGTAACATTGGTTGCATAAGGTACAGAAGAAGCCAACTCCGGATGATCAGAGAAATTATATGCTGACATACGAAGAGGCTTATCATCTTTTAACCATTCCACACGAATAAACTTGAAAAGATAAGGAATACTTAAGAGATTAATGAGTGCTTTATCAGAATGCAACATTAATTCTTTAATTTCTGAACCTTTGCTACTGTTTACACTGACTTCATTGAATGACAAACATTTCAGTTGTCCTGTATCTCCAAACTGTATTTCTAACAAGTCAGTTTCAAGTTGAATAGGTGCGAGAATTTTCGATAAAGTTGTATCGAACAGACCTAAAAAAACAGAAGCAAAAAGAGAAATGTAAGGGGCTATCGATTTGACTGCAGTAGGCAAACATGTCAGTGATGGGCAGTGTGATATACAGTTTCGAAACAAGCAATACATCAGTTAATACAATGATCAAAGAAGTGGGCGAAGTAAAGTAAAAACTAATAAATGATAAAAGTGAAAATGGCTTTATTCCAAACACTAAATATGATACAATATAGAGTTCTCCACAGTGTAGTGTAATATTGAACCAAATTTTCTCTTTACGTTACATAGTACGTGGGGAAAACAATTACAGGACTTTAAAATATACACAGTAATAATATTGGCAATAATATGGTGTAAAAATAAATTAAAAACTAATACAAATGATGTCAACAATAAATTAATGACAGGAAGAATAAAGCGGGCCGTTGATTTACTGTTTCGCAGCTAGCTAGTTGTTTCTGTCCCTGATTGCATGGAGGATTTCATCATGAGCTGATATCAGATAAAGAACCAATGGAAAACGTGGGACTACTGGATAGCCACCTGTTTCGTCCTAGCTCTCCGAGACTCTTCATCAGTACGCGCTCACCGCCAGGGTTCGAACCCAGGACCTTCTGGTTACAAGACTAGCGAGCTCTTCGACCATTGAGCCACTGAGACCCGATCCAATGGCCAGTCCATGAATTCCAACTGCTGCCAATTCACGACTTAGCGCGACCATTTCGCAATGTCTTCCTCGATGAGTTACTGCCTCATCTTCAACCTGCAGTACTCCCAGGTTCTCCAATGGTTCTCATACTGATGTCAGCTCATGATGAAATCCTCCATGCAATCAAACGAAATCCCTACTAAAACCAATACTTGAAAGTTTCTGTCTTCCTCAACACCTAAAATCGATATCCGCACAATTTCATCAAAAAGTGTTCAAAAAATCGAGTCACAACACAAACAAGAAACCATCATTAAAGACTACAAGAAAATTCATTCTACCATACATGAGAAATATCTCTGAAATAACAGCTTGAATACTGAAACCGTTTGATATAGATATAGAGCACAAGTCAGTCAGATTAATCACCTAATTGGATATTGTGTAAACCGAAAGATTCACCAGAAAAAGGAGATAAAATTAATACTATTTACAAAATAAGTTGTATGAACTGTAACAAGCATTACATCGGTCAAAGCAGGCGTCCCCTTCGAATCAGAATATAAGAATAAAAATCAGCTGTAAAAAGACATGATATATATTCCTTCATATCAATGCATGTAGATAATTATGGACATCAGTTTGATTGGGATAATGACGAAATCTTAGACGGAGGAAACAACAAAAGTGCCAGGGAATTCCTAGGAGCCTGGTACTCAAACGAAAATGCAATTAACAAACACTTCAATATAGACGAAATATACCAACTAATAAGAAGTAAATCATGTGACGAGAAAGTTTAAAATCCAAATCAATAAAAAATGATGAATACATATGTAAAGATGGTTACCGGGACGCAATTCTATTACTCATGGAAAATTTAAATCATTTCGCTGTATGCTAAAAACTGCGCTGAAAGGGAATATTGTCCAGAAGGTGGATGACGAAAGCTCTCCAACTAAACTAACCAGCTGAGAGAACAATACTGTTTGCAAATCTAAAATGCTTGCCGAATAAGGTATCGTTACGTTTTTATATTTAGTCGTGCAGGCTTACAGTCCCTTAAAATGGCTTCTTGTCCTATCTGAGTAAATGCAAGTGGAGAGTCGTGAACAGAGAGGGTGTTGAGAGTCAGACAAGATGATTGTTGACAATCTCGTGTAAAAGCTTCTACGTCTGTCAACGACAATAATGTCAACAAGTTGGCTGAGAGGCGCCCCACTCGCCCTACTGACAGTTTTTAGAGTCATTCGCAGGGTAACAAAGTCTTTTTTAGATAGGCCAGGAAAGACTACATGGGAGCAATAAAGAAGAAGAATAGGTAGAAAACGAGAATTAACAAGCTGCAAAGGTACTGACTGGGTGATATCAGATTCTCGTAACTTTTGTATTTAGAGGGTTAGACAAAACAATTTTCTAGAAGTCAGCAGAATGTGGAATGATCAGGAAAAGATCCGAGGAAAGACACAATCCAAGATATTTAACATTCGATTTAGTTTCAACTTTAGTGCCTTCTATATAATACACGAATCATAAGAACGAACTAGTTCCTGCAAATCTCATTTGTGTCTGTAAGTAAAATTAACAATCTAATATTTTGAAGGATTCAGCTTAAGACCATTTAATAAGGACCACTGGCTAACTTACAATAAAAAGTTACTCATTTTGAAACAACCTGACTCGGAAGTAACATGCACGGAAACAGTTAGATCAAAGGGGTAGTGGAATCAAATAGCATTTAAAAAAAACGACGAAATATAGTTTCATAAAGCGATATGATAGAAAAAGGACCACATTAAAGCTAGAACAGATGTCAGACATTCAACGATTAAAGTATACTATCAAATTGAAAAAATTTAACTGTCTGATTGTGATATGAACAATTAGCGAGATAGAAAAGCAAACTTTGATATGGCTACTTCAGTAAAAGAAATCCATTGCGATGACTTTGATAAACTTGAAGTACACCATCTAAACTTTAATAATCTGATTGTTTGGTTTTGTTACAACTGAATAACAGAAGAGGGGATGTATGGTCTGTTGTCACAGTCTACCGAACAGTTGTGATGTCAGTATTTATAGGACTAGTTTCAAACATTTGTGCGATACAGTAACTCAATACGTAAACAGCTTATAACTTAGACTAATAAAGATCACATTGCAGAAATATTCTACGCTAACCGATAAGCTAACTTACTGTATATCTGTACAACATAACTTTTGTGTTGCGCATCCGTGGTGACCATACTGTACGAAAATTGATTCTCGACTCCCTCAATAAATTTTCTAGGTGTCCAAGTGATACAAGCTAAATAATAATGATACCTCCAAAGATATTCGGATGAATTCACTAGTCACGAAAAATAATTGTAATAATGGTATGAACGAATGGGAGAATTAAAAACTCTGATGTTTCCACTAGCTGATTGGAGCTGTAGTTCACCGATTCAGACACTAGATTCCAAACCAATGGGTCAGGAGTTCGAACCACGTTCCACCTACCGAGGTTTGGGTAACCAGATAATAACAATAGTATACAATACAGTGTGCGTCGGTGGCACAACGGTTAGGATGCTCGCCAACCATGCACATGGTCCAGGGGTTCGATCCCCAGTCGACTCACTCCTTTACCTCATTTACCCAGCAATAAGATTAGTAAAGAGGGAAGGTTGGGCATGAGGCTAGCAACCCCATCCTGTAAAAATAAACACCACAGGCACTGAAACTTCAAGCCTCCAGCTTGAAGCCCTATGTTCCACTGGGAACGTGAAGGAAGTAAAAAAATACAATACAGTGCTACAGGAGGTCAATCGCGAGTCTGAATAGGTTAGTACGTCGGTGGCATAGCGGTTAGGACTCTCGCCAACTATACACATGGTCCGAGGTTCAATCCCCTACCGACACACACCTGATATCAATGGTCGGCCTGCAAAATCTGGGCTACCGGTATCACATGCTGAAAATTCCATACCTGTACCAAAAAAATCTGGTGTGGAATCAAGTTGACACGAGTTCGAATCTCAGAAGGCGCATGAATTCCTTCAAGATTGCAGATATACTGTGCTGATGAGTGCCAGCAAGCAAAAAAAAATAGGTTTAAGGCTTTCTGCCGACTGCCTCCAACCATTTAATATCAACAATTCATATCGCACCGTGATATCGAGCCAACTAGCATTGTGGTCACATTGTAAACTTGCCTGACAGAATTCAGTGTGCATAGAACAAAAGATTAGAACACATGGCACTAATTACTGCCTAATTAATGTCTAATTAAAGTAACCAGGTATTATTAGCCCTCACACACAAATACGTGTAGCTCATTACCAACTACAGTGAATGAACCTGACTGACTTAAAGATGTAGTCGACTATAATTCATAGTTTCAGTAAGATTTGCTTCTTGCATCTACCTCATCTATGTTCTAGACAGTGTGCATACAACTTACATAACTCATATATGAAATTGTGCATAGAGTTAAAATAAACCAAAAAACATTTGAAATCGGATATAATTTTTTTTTCAACGGCATTTATACGCATAAACGCAATGAAAATTAACTCACTTTTTGATAATAAAAATTGTTCAAGTGTAATAACTGTGACTATAGAATCTATCCACATATTGATATCATTTTTTATGATACACTGATATACACCAATATCTGATAATTGAAGTGAATCAATTAGTAAATTAGCGTGATCTAAGGAGAGAGCGTGCGAGAGAGAGAGAGAGAAAAGAAAGAACAAAGTTAAAATTAATTTATTATCTCTATCCATTTCATAAGAAAATATTGCACGTAAACAAACCATTGCGAAACAAAACGCTTTTAATAAAACCTATACAACAAGACAAGGGTTACAGTAGGTTTCGCATACATACATGTTAGGTAGTATGAAAACTGAGAATTTCTAACAGAATAGTTTAAAACTATCTCGCATTTTATACCACACATAATTGAATAAAATCTTGTATTCGCGTGTATACTACTGCTCTATCGAGTTGCTTTACTAGTGATATAGAACTACAACCATACACACAAAAGGCCTTCTTTCACTTTTAACATCCTAGTGGAACATAACACTTCAAGCTTGGGGCTTTGGCGTTCCAGTATCCACGGTGTTGTCTTTTACAGGGTGAGGTTGTTAGCTTCCCCCCTCTTTCCAGGTTCACTATCAGGCAAGGTTTAGGAGTGAGTCAGTCAGTTGCGTGATTGAACCCGGATCACATGAGTGATTGGCGAGAATCCTACCATTGAACCACTGACTGATTCAGTACATAAAAACCTTAAAAATATCAATATTCGATATAGTCTCTAGGAAACTTCTTGGAAAAATTTCATTGACTCTTATTATTATTATTGTTCCCTTGGGTTCCTAGTGGAACATGGGGCTTCAACTGCACGTCTCCACTTGCTTCTGTCTTCTGCTGTACTTTTCACCTGCATTCATACATGTTAATCCATACTGTTTCAACTCCTCTTCACACGATCTTCCCCACACGTCACCCTTGGACGTCCCACTCACCGCTTCCCTTTCAGGTTCCACTTGAGGGCCTGACGCGCGTGTTTTCTTCTCTTGTCCGTCTCTGTGTTGAGTCATTTTCTCTTTCACCATTCTCCTCTCCTCTATTAGCTTCCAAGTGTCCATTGAGAGCCATTCCTTGTCTTGTCTCTTCTATCTTCCTAAAAACGTTGAACACGTTTCGTTGAGAACCGCCTTCAGAAAGTTCCAGTGGTCTTCCACGCATGATTCCTCAGTAATGTCACGTAGTGTTTCCTGCTTTGCTCTGACAGTTGCAGTGAAAGTGTTCTTTGTGGTTTTATCCTTCAGTTTTTGAGTGTTGAACTTGCATTGTAGCCTATTCCCAGCTATCCTCGAGGCCTTTAGCATCACCTTGAAAGTCTCTTGTACTAGATAGTGGTCCGAACCCACATCTGCTCCTCTCCTCAACCTTGTGTCCAGTAGGCTCCGTCTCCACTTTCATGAAATTGAGATGAAGTCTATTTGGTTCTTGGTGTTTCCATCTGGTGAAATTCATGTCGTCTTGTGTATATGCTTGTGTTTGAACACACTGCCACCAATCACCAAATCATTGAAGGCGCAGAAGTCTGGGAAGAGTTCACCATTGTCGTTCATTTCACCAAGGGCCTCTCGACCCATGGTGAGTTCTCTTCCTGTGTTGTCTCCTCCCAGCTTCGCATTCATGTCGCCCATCAGGATTTTGATATCGCCATTTGAGACGTTGTCCATTACTGTTTGTAGTTGTCTTTAGAACGCCTCCTTCTTCTCTTGTTCTGAGACGTTTGTAGGCGCATAGCATCGGATGACTGTAACTTTCCTTCCTTTTGAGTTCAACCTGGCTGTCATTATCCTGGAAGAGATTGGTTCCCCACTGCATGAGAGCTTTGGCTGCTGTTGGTGACATCATGATGACCACTCCCTCGGTGTGCTCGTGGTTGCCGTCTGGGTGACCGGAATAGATTATTTTCTCCAGTAGGTAGTTGGCACCTTCCACATCCATTCCACCTGCTCTCGCAGAATCTCATTAACTCTTGGTTTCAGTTAATATGCATATATATGGAGCTATGCGCAGTAGTAGTGTACTGTCTGTCAATGTGGCCAGGGAAAATATAGTGTCATACAAGACTGATAATCGATATTTGATAAAGGAAAACAATTTCTTTATGTACTCAATCGGTTAAAATTTCACAACTTTTTTTAAGACCACCTTAGTTATACTAATAAGTATACAGAGTTCAAGAGTATACTGTTTGTAGGATTAAAGGACAGATAGCTTATTATTACTGACTATTCACAAGAAATATATCGGTGAAATAGACAGAACAAACAAGTCTCATAAACCTAACACTAGTTGAACAATAATTTTAGCATAGTGAATATAATGTACAAATATGTTATTGTCAATGCATAACCACTAACTACTCCTGTCTTTGTCATGATGACGGTGACAACAATACACGGGTGTGTTACTTTGGCTTATCACTCGATACTACTAATACTACTAACGTGGAATAGAGGAATCATAAAAGAAAAGCAAATCAACATGTATACACCTCATTTCTTTCCTTTTCTTCAAATCTTACATGTTCAATGTCAAATTTTTAAATATAACAGATAACTAAGCTACAATACAAGGGTGATGTGATATACGCATATAATATCCCGCCGCAACAAATTGGAGAATAACACTAGAAGAAAATAAAAGAAGTGTTGTGTTTTATGAGGCAGAGAGAGGGAGAGAGCCTAAGAGAGAGGCAGAGATGAACGAAACAAGAAGGTGTAGGAAGCAGCTATGAAGTGATTGATGTTCATTCACAACTTTCATATTTTCATTTTCAACCGCTTGAATGTCTTATTTTTTTTCAACAAAAAGAACATTGGGAGAAATAACAAGCAAAATGTCGACAAAACGAGAGCACAAAAAAAACGACAAAAAAATTGTTAAAGTCAAGAAAGAAGTAAAAGAAACGGTGAACAAGAAGAAGAAGAAGAGGAAAAAAATCCAACAGGCGAGACAAGACAAGGTGTGCGCGAGTGTGAGTGTGTGTCTGATTGTGTGAGAAAGAAACGCAGAGAATTAATTAGAAAAGGGAAGAAAAAGCCTGTGCGCGCGCACATTAAACAACCAGTTGATGTCTAGATGAAACAATGAAAGACAAAAGAAAAAAAAAATGACTTGTTACACGCAGATATATGCCGTTGTTCTTTTCATCACACATATCATCATTAAAATGGAATGCAACGTTAGCATTGTGGCAGTGAAAATTATTGCCATTATCATTATTATATGAAATAAAATTTGAACGAAGTATAGGTAAGTGTCTCACTGACAATGAAGAAATTCACACACTCTCTCTCTCTCTCTCTCTATATATATATATATATATATATATATATATATATATCGACTGATTCTCATCTTGTAAAATGAACATGTATAACAAGTCAGTGAATTGTGCAGATAAACCATATACACCTATAATGTGACAACTGACCATGTAAAAAGTCATCTGAAGTCTAACTAACTGGTCATGAAGCTAGTGAATAGAGAACAGTACGGCGACACATAGGTATTGTTATTGGAATAGGCGTCTGCATAAAAATGAAGCTGTGTTAAACATAACGGTTTCAGCAGGATTTCAAAATATACTTACAGAAAATTAATTCTGACAAGGGTAGAAAATTGATAACACCTTCGGAATATTTTGGCACTAACATAATTCTATAATCATTGACTCATTGCAACCATGTTGAATTCATGCCTTGTTTGTTTTATTCCTTTGCGTTCCCCAGTGGAACATAGGGCTTCAAGTTAGAGCTTTGAAGTTTCAGTGCCACTGGTGTTTAATTTTATGGGATAGGGTTGCTAGCCTCATGTCTAACCTTCCTTTTTTACCAGTCTTATTAATGGCTTAGCGAGGTAAAGGAGTGAGTTGGTCGGGAATCCAGCCCTGAACCACATGCACGGTGGATGAGCATTCTACCGCTGTGCCACCGACACACTTGCCTAGTCGATATAAATAATTCGTTTCTAAACGATCTAGTCATCAGCTAGACGTTAATTCACTCTCGTTTTTTTATGTTTAATTAAGTGTACATAAATGACTCATAATGTGCGTCGGTGGCATAGCGGTTACGACGCTCGCCGACCATGCACATGGTCCAGGGATTCGAATCCCGGCCACAGACGCACTCGTTTACCTCGCTAAGCCAGAAATAATACTGGTAAAGAGGAAAGGTTGAGCATGAGACTATCAACCCCATCCTGTAAAATAAACACTGCTACAGAAACTTCAAGCCACTAGCTCAAAGCCCTATGTTCCACTGGGGAACGTGAAGGAAAAAAAAGACTCATAAACCAGTCTAGGTACGCTCATGTATCTAAGACGTAACTAACCGAAGACGTAACCGTAACTAACTAAGACGTAACCGATCGAAAGCTGCTACCTTAACGTGGTGGTCGGGCTTGAACACCGCAATGACCTATTCAAGCTATACTGGCTGAGACTTATGTCTCTTGAGGTCCACCATGCCAGACAGGTTGTTTGGATAGCGGTTAAACAAAAAGCAGCTACCCAATCCAATACCATGATTCAAACAAATTCACAAAATTTCATGCCGGATCGGCCGTGGCCCGGATTAACAACGACCGCGCTTCCTGCTGCCGTGTCACAGGGCAGGAGTGATAAATATGCTACTGAGACACACAAAACAAAAAGAACAAACAAAAGCAGGCCGCGTGTGACCGGCCTCAAGCAGTTGTCCCCTGGGCTCTGCGGTCACGCAACCAACTTCCACGGTGTGGGCAGCCGGGAAGTAACAATCGCCCTCACAATCCGAAACGCACGCGAAACCTCTCTATTACTCACTCATCTTTGTCTTCATCTTCATCTCTATCATCTTGCCTTCCTTCCACTGATGCAACTCCTCGACTTGATAGCTCTCCACTCTGCGTCCACTAAAAACGATGGAAGCCAAAAAACCACCACCGACAGCCTCTTAAAGCCGCGCCACCAATTTCATATAGGAGCTTTTAATGTTAGGACACTTTGCCAAATAGGACAACAAGCATCACTAGCCAAGACCCTGGCATCACGAGCCATTGATGTATGCTGTGTTTCAGAAACACGCATACAAGACCCAAGTGTGGTTATTCACCTAACCCCACCTGGCCAACAGG